GAAAGGAGAAAATAATTTAATGGAGTGTGAGATAAGTATCTCAAACTTACATATGTAATATATACCCTGAACTTTACATAAAAATATATTTTCGCATCATTATTGTATGTTTTTATACAAATACAAATTTAATAAAATAATTACATATTTTAAAATACTCTAATCTTTGTTAAAATTCTAAAAGTACATTCTAAAATTTCTTTTATGAAATAAATAATATTACATCGTGTTTGATATAAATCTAGTTGCATCATCATAAATGTTTTGTGTAATTTAAGTTATGTACTTAACACCATAAAATTACATTTGTGAAAAAAATATACGATCATGGTACTAATATAACTTTTTATATAAAGTTTGGGGCTATGGTGCACCGATTTCACCCGTATGTCGTATCCGCGTATCCGATACGTATCTGATACAAATACTCACTGATACACATCGTGTACGTATTGGATCTGCATCCAAAATTTAATAAAAGTTTTGGCTTATTTTTAAAAATATAAATACTTCTGATACCCGTATCCGTGAACCGATATGCGCATCTAAGTCTCTAACTCTAATTTCGGGAGTATGAAAAATAGAAATTGCTCTAAATAGAAGAAAAAACGCTTTGAAATTCCAAAATAGGAGTATCATGTTTTTTATTCCTTCAATATGAGTAATGTGCCATGTTTGGAAAAAATGTCATGTTTAAAAGCCTAGTAATGTCAAACTTGGCCGGAAATTACTTCTATTTAGGGAATAAAAAACATAATAGTCTTATTTTGGAATTTCAAAACCTTTTTACTCCTATTTAGGGAATTTACTCTATGAAAAATATTGTAATACTACAATGTGCCAATTTGTCGCTTGACGAGCTTTAATTGAAATCAGTATTGTTAAAAGACTTAGATGTAAATACATATACATAACCAAAAAGATTATTTGAATTTAAATCAAAATATGAGTAATTTAGTTTTATAGTCCAATCTTTGAAATTTTATTATATTGTTAATTTTTGGTACTATTATTATTTTATTTATGAACCTCACAATTATATGTATTTTCAAATTATACCATATATCATCATCATCATTTATAAATATTCCCCGTACATGTATCCTATAATATTTGACATTGCCGTATTGCCGTACCGGTATCCGCGTATCGACGTAACCGTGCAACATAGGTTTGGGGTATATCCATATATATATATATATATTACATGTGTAAGTTTGAAGTGATGATCTCATACATATTCAAAATTTGGAATATTTAAATTATTTTCCATATTAAAAATCAGTGCATCCCCAGTTCCACACGCTTCCCCTTCTACTCTCGCTTGCTTTTTGACAACCGAGCGTTGACAGGGGCGGATCAGTGGATCACTGTGAGGGGCAGGATGGGCTCCGATCCAGCCCAATTTGTTTTTTATTAGTATAGGTATAAGTTTAAGTGGAAATTACCTGCATGATCCTCTTTAGTATACCATGTATCATTTATGTCCAAACTATTTTCTCTTTTCATTTTTAACTTTTGTATTTTCAATTATGTTTTATTATTTCACTTTGAGACTGTCTGTATTCTCATCCGTAGGTAGAAAAATACTCTTCATATAACATAGAGATGAGTTAACATAGCCTTACAGATTACCCTCATTCTCGTCGCCTTATCTGCGAAACAGTTTGGGAGAGTCGTCAGAAGGCGTCCTGGAGAGCGACCGACGAGTTTCATGGTCGGGATTGAGCATCGCCAATGGGGTTAACTTTAAATTCCTTGTTCCAAATTCGTCTGGCAGTCAGGTTACCGATCTGGCGGTCTCCGGGCTGGGAATAGGAAGCGAAGGATTCCAAGTGTTTTTTATGCAGATCCGAGATTGAGGACGAGTTTTCAGAGTCGCTCAGGTTGAGGATTGAAACTTTTTACCAGGTCCAAATTCAGCTGAATGGGGGCATATTAGTGGCAGCGGAGCAACAACAAAAACAACATGAATCTATCAGGTGGTTGAGGGAGACGCACTTAGCGGCAATCACATTTTGTCCGGAGCGATTCATATTCAGGTGGACATTTATTGTGCTGTGTATTTTTTAATTTTACTATTTTTATTTCATATTCTGCTAAACGATATCATTTGGCTATTTAGAATAATATTCGTTTGCAGATTCGCAACATTTTTTTTGAATGCAACTGCCTCCATTAATTGACATGTTAATGTTGATGGTATGAGTTAATTAGTTGAGAGATTGACGCAGAACAGTGCAAAGGGAAGGAGAGTCGAGCGGCATTTCTATACAAAAATGTTTTGGCCATAGTTGTGACTGTTTTCCATTAGCTTTGTAGAATTGGTGATTATAAAAGCATAGTTCATACATGAAAATTGATAGTTAAGTGCATCACTGTAGTAAAAAATGGTTTCCCTAGTTCCAGAAATGAGAGCTTTTTTATCCATTTCTCTTTTCAAAAAAAGTTGAGAGATTAATAATATTTGGTAATCGGTATGAGTTATTTAGCAGGTTGATATTAGCTGATAGTTAATTAGGCATGGAAACTCCCCTTCTGTATTCCACTGAATAAAGGTTGACGTTTGTGGATTTTTGTTCAAAGTCTTGGGTAATTTTTTAGTTATACGCCAAGCTTTATTTGCTTCCAGCCATCTTACTTTTTCTTATAAATAAAGACATGATCTGACTAAAAAAAATTATATTAGCCTCTCCAATCTGATTTGCCTTGCTTACACATTCTTTATTTTAGTATACATTTATAATAGTAATAGTATACTAATGCTTGAATGATCAACACACATAGAAAGATGTTCAATCTGGTAAACAATCCAGCAGAAGTTATATAGTTTGCACTCTGTGTGAGGAATTTACAGCGGAAGCTATCACTTGCCTTCTGAGTAACAAGACCCAAGAAGGGATTATGAATCTCCTTCTTATGTCTTGCCTGATGTTGCGTGTGTACGAGCAGCAAGTATGTATGGTCAAGTTTCAATTGTGTGTTAAAAAGGCATCATTTGTCTGAAATAACAATGAGGGAATTATAAATATGGGTTAATGTCATTCTCTTAGCTAGGCTGTAGAAACCCGTGAAAGGATTTTGTAACAAAAAACCTCCTAAAAGTTATCTTCGTTTTTAATTTATATTTGCAGTGCATCACATTGGTGAATAACTATGGCCCTCTTCTATTCTTAGAGGTCTCCACAATAGAGCCTGAACAGTTCTGTCAAAAGTCACACTGAGACAGTCTTGATAAGGTATAAGGTTATAAGCTTTGCCCAAGAAATCCGCGGGGGTGTTTTCCTATCAATAAGAGACACCGGTGTGATGAAATGGATGTTGAGAAAGATGTGTAAAGGCACAGACAAAAGGAGAGATGGGTGCATCAGAGACACTTTGTTGTCCATTTGAACAACCTAAGCTTCCCGAAGGAACGTTGTGCTTTGCTTAGGGGAAACTTGCCAAGATATGGTCATACTGGAGCCAGAGTTATTGATATGATGATGCTTCATTCATTAATTTATACACATACTAGTGTCTCCCTGACTAGGAGGATCCATATACTTTGTCATGGCTTATTTGTCCTATGATGTTATTTCAGTCTTGTTTACTGTCTAGGAAAATATTGGTTGTGATATTATTATATACCTGTAGTATTATTTTTGTTTCTTTTTGTTGTACCAGAAGTATTACATATTGTTGCATCGTGTTGCATTTTGTTGCATCTTATTACTTTTTGTTACATACTAGTATTATTTAATATTGATTCAGATTTTTGTTTATTTAGATTTCTATTTATGTTTCTACATCCTTAACATAAAGATATATCTATATAGATTTAGATGGAAACACTGAAAACGTTTTGTGAATATGAAAAACAACTAGAAACAATAAAAAACAAAAATTCCAGAATTGTCAACAAAATGAAACACAAAAAAACCAGATGCAACAATCACTAAAAATCAAATGATAATAATAATTTAAAGTTTATGTACTTTAAGAAACATTACATTAAAAAAGGTATTTTTTCATGTTTGTATTTTAATTTTCATTTTTCCCACTTAGTTTATTTTAATTTTATACTATTTAAGGAACATTAATTTTCAATTTTTTATAATATTAAACAATTTATTTTACCAAAAAAAACATTAATGTAATATCTATTTTTGATTATATAAAATTTAATATAAAAGTATGGAATGTTTTTCAAATTTATATATTTATCTTATTTTTATTTTTAATATGAATATTTTTTTTCAAAAATATTACATTTTCTTTTTGTAAGAACATATTGATTACCCTTTTCATAATATTTCATATTATTAAACAGTTTAGAAATATTTTTATCTCATTTCAATTTTTTTTATAACTATGCATTTTTTAATATTTTAACCATTTTATACATTCTATGAAAATTTTGATTTTTATATAAATCACATTAACTATTTAAGAAAACTACCATAATAAATCCAAACTTTGTACCTTTTTTACTCGTCCCCAAACTTTAATGAATTTAAACTTTTTTATTTGTTTGTTTTCAAGTTTTTTAAAATTTTCGTATATTTTGTTATTTTCTGATTTGTTTGTACACATTAATTTCATTTTCAATTATTTTTCAAATTTAATTTACAAGTTTCCAATTTTTGTGTTTTTATTTTATTTTTATTGTTTACTTTGAGTTTCTGTTTATTTTTAAAATTAAATTTCATTTGACAGAATTTTTATTTTTGTCTAAGCATTAACATATTTTAGACTTTTTACATTTTCCTATTTAAAAATAAAGAAGTAATTCATGCACTTTGTAGAATGAAAGAGTAGTAAAGACTTGAACCTCACGTGCACTTTGGTATGTTAGGCTTCATATGGAACGTGGACTATTTATGAAAGAAAAACAGCTTGGAAGCTTATGTTTGAAAAACTTCTATAAAGTGAAAAAAATGATATTATTTTCAAATTAAGGCTATGTGTGAAAAATTCGCTAAGTTTAATTATCAGCCCACACCAAAATTATTCTTAGCCCACCACAAATTTAATTCCCGGACCACCTCACAAACCAGCCCAGACAACTCAACTTGCCTGCGCCTCCTTTGCCAACTGGGGGAAGTGCGAAGACGGATGAACGAAGGTCGAAGAACGAAGAAGAGTGAAGAGTGAAGACGGAGCTTGCGACGAAGAATCTGTGAGCTGCGAGCCTGCGAAGAAGAATCTGTGAGCTGCGAGCCTGCGACGAAGACGCGAACACCAGGCCACCAGCCGCGCCGCCTGCCTCCCTCCACGCGTCCAGGGCCCTGCGTCGGCCGTCCTTCCTCTCCGGACTCCGGCTCTCAGCTCCCCCATTCCGGCTCTGCCAGTCTGCCTGCGTCCCTGCCTCCAGCAGCCAGCTCGACGCCTCCATTGCTCCAGCCTCCAGCCTCCAGGAGTCCAGGTATACTCTAACTCTAATTTTCTTTTAGATTTTTAATCTATTATTTTGTGACTTTGTGTTATTGTGTAATTATTATTTTTAGCCTTTTAGGGTTAGGGAACAACTTGATAAGGGCCTGTTCGGTATCGTTTCTGTTTTTCAGTTTCTGTTTTTCTTTTCTTAAAAAAAAACAGAAACACGTTTGGTAAAAGGTTGTTTTTGTTTCCAAAATCATAATCTTAAGAAGTGTTTTTAGAAAACTAAAATAGTATTCTGAAATCCACAAAACATAGTTTCTGTAAATTTGTTATCAATTTTCTCCCATACCCAGCCTCTTACTATTAAACTCCTACATAGGACCACCGTCGGACCACTGCCGGCCGCCACCAGACAACTGCTGGCCGCCACCAGACAACTGCTGGCCGCCAATGGACCACTGCCAAGCCACCGCCAAATCACCCGCGGCCACCGTCAAACTGCTGACTGGGCCGCCACCGGACCACCGTCAGACTGCCACCGAACAACCGAACCACCACCAGATTGGTGGCGACCACTGTCAGACCACTGTCGGCCGCCATCAGACAAGCGCTGGCTGCCACTAGACCACCATCAGGTCGCCGACCGTTGGGCCACCGCCAGATCAGCGGTGGACACCGATAGACCGCCGATCGGACCACCGCTGCCAATCACTGTAGGGCCGCCACTGGACCACTGCTGCCGATTGCCACCAGGCCATTACTGGACCGTCAGTCGCCACCAGATTGCCACCGGACACCACCATATCACCGCCGCCGATCGTCGTCGGGCCACCACAGGACGCCACCAGACAGCCGTCGGCGATGGCCGGAAATTTTCCGACTCTTGCCGCCGCTGATCTGTTACCACACCGCCGCCAAAATGATATCTAGAGCAATTTCTCTTGGAAAATGATCTCCCTACATATGAATGTAATTACTTACTTTTAGAAATGACAAAAGCCAAAATGAATCAACACCAAAATAAAAAGGTTTCAAAAAACTGAGAATAAAAAACTGAACTCAGATTTTTGTTTTCTAGAAAACAAAAACAGAAAACTCAAAACGATACCGAACGAGACTAATTGACTTTTTCAGTACATAATAAAATAGTGCTTGATTCATTATAAATTTGTAATGGTTAAAGATCTAATTAAAGATTAGAGAATAATTTATTTATTATACTATTGAAAATTAAAGAATGATTTATTTATTGTGTGGACGCGTAAGAAAGAATTGAAAATCTCAATTAAATTTTGAAATTGGGATGATTATTTACAATAATTATTTTTATGTACAACAATTGTTTTTTTCTTATTAGTTTTACAATATTGTAGAAGTAATTTAATTCATACCAATATTGAAAATGTTTTTTAGAATTGATAATGAACATATTGCAAAGAAAAGAAAATGAAATGAATATTTACTTGGTGCGAATTTGAGCTTGAGTTTGGTTCAATAGATTTTCGGTGTCCGATTTTAACACACAATAAACATGCTCGAATGTAGAAGTTTAGACTATACTCTTTAATAGGTTCATGTTCAAATTATTCAATAAATACTCGAATCTTTAATAATCATTAATAAATTTATTAATTTGCACTGAAAACGTTTAAATTTTAAGATATACTCCGTATATAGTATTCCATCATTTGCAATGGAGCCAAAGACTCACTATTTTTTGGCCCGGGAATATGATGGAATAAAGTAAATGGGCTCACTAAACTGTTTGCGCTTCTTTGTTATGAAGCAACAGGCAGTTCATGCAATTTTTGACGCGATTTTCACTATGGGTCATCCGGAAACAGTCTCTCTGTGCTTTAGTATAGGGGTAAGACTGCGTACATCCGACCCCCCCTTACCCCACTGTAGGTGGGAGCCTTTGCGGCACTGGGGTAATGATGATGATGACTCCGTATATAATTTATTCCTATAATTTGTAAGTGAACGATAGGCTCGAGCCCGGATCAAATCAAACATCACAATGTTCGAACTGGCCTTGGATAGTTGGATAATTATTCAAACTCAAAACCTAGTCTGTGTTCGAGTTTGAACTTTGAAGCTTGTAAGCTCGGGTCATTAAATTAGAGGCAAAATCAAGCTCAAACTCGAGTATATAAGTCGAAAAAGCTCGATTTGATAACAACCTTGAGCTAAACCTTGTATTTAGAGTAACAATTTTTTTACTGCTTAGCAGTTAGCCCACCCCACATCTCAATCCTAGATCCGCCCCTGAGCGTTGATATTCATTCAGTCATTCATTCGGGTATATTTCTTTTTGTAATAATGTAATCTCATCTCTCGTTTTGCCTGTTTCAACTTCCAACCTTATCTGTCAAACAAAAGTTATGTCTTAGCCTCAATTATCCAGATTCGAAACATAATTATTAGATGTTGTTATCACCTTTTATATTCGTAATGAAGAAGGATTGAAGTCCGCAATTTGGAGTGTTGCTTTGGTTAGTAGGCTAAGGTGATTAGTTTACGGATGTTATATGTCAATAATAATTATATTTTCAGTTTACGTAATTACACCCTGAAATTTAAGCTTCATACGGAAGCCCAGTCCCTTCATTATTATTTCAGTCTATTTGCTTGCTTCAGTTTCCTCGATTAGCTCGGATAATTATGTCATGGGTTCATCTTCACCTGGCTTCAACATAGCTCGGATACTTTCCTTCATTCCATTCTGAGTTCTGAATAGCTCATTTTGCTCAACAGCTTAGGAACATGACCATAGATGAGGAGTCCGGTCAAGAATTCCAACCCCAAAAGAAGAAACCTCCTTCTGAGGATGAGAAAAGGTCTTTCTTTTTCACCCTTATACTATCCTATTATCTGAGAATTGATTATTTAATGTTGCTTTTTGAGACGATAAATTTGCAGAAGAAAAAAGATTGTGCCAGGAAGCTTGATGAAAGCTGTGGTTAGGCCTGGCGGAGGCGAATCAAGACCTACCGAGGGTGATCAGGTTGTGTATTTGTTTTCTCATGTTTAAATCACCTTCTTAAGAATATTAATTAGCTTATATAAATTTGTATGATGACAAACTAGTTTTTTGGATAACTCACTGATGGTGATGCTCTTAACTTCTGTTGCATGACATGATGCTTATCGTAGTTGTTTATGAATTGTGCAGTTAACATATCATTGCACAGTTCGAACAACAGATGGAGTTACTGTCGAGTCGACAAGGTCACACCTTGGAGGTAATTTTTGTACCGCAGTAAATAATACGGAGTAGAACTTCACCATTCATATAGTAAAATATTACTAGTATTTGTCAAGTATACATGACGTGTGCACTGTTCTTGGATTGCTACGACCTCATTTCCATTATAATGAGGGTTCTCATGCCTCTACATTGAATTGCCACTCTTATCCTTTATTATGATTACTAAGGCAAGGGTATCCCAATGAGGCATGTTTTGGGGAAGAGCAAGATGCTTCTAGGGTTGCTAGAAGGAATACCCACAATGTTGAAGGGTGAAGTTGCAGTGGTAATCATGCAGACTCTCTTTTTTGTTGCCAACAGTTTACTGATCCAGAGTATAACATTTTTTATTTGAATCATAACTTCATGTCGCACACCACATCGTTTCTATTAATTTCATGTGTTGATTTTCTGAGATTCAGTTCAAGATGAAACCTGAAATGCACTACAGAGAGGAAGATTGTCCGGTTTCAGTTTCTGACAGCTTTCCAAAGGATGCTGAACTTCATTTTGAGATTGAATTGATAGAATTCTCTAAAGTCAAGGCAAGATTTTTCTGTGTCAATTTTTTTTACTCATTTTTAAAAATTGAAATATCATGTGTTTTGATTGTAAACCATGTTTCCTCAAAGTGCACAATGACCCTGAATTACTTTTATTGTTGTCCATTGCTAATTTGCTATTATATGTGACTCACTTGCTTCGAAAAGTTCTAGTATTGACTTGCATATGCATGTTTGAAATTTGCCTTACTAAAATATTGTACACTCTCTATCCGCCCTAGTAAGCGACTCATGCTTAAACACTTCTTGTCCTAAAAATGGACTAAGCAATAAGTCGTGTTTGATAAAAAAAATTAGGGAAAACTGTCAAATAAGTCCTTCTACTATATCAACAAAGTCAATTAAGTCCTTATACTTTAAATTCGACCAATTGAGCCCTCGAACTAATAAAAACACTTCTTGTCCTAAAAATGGACTAAGCAATAAGTCGTGTTTGATAAAAAAAATTAGGGAAAACTGTCAAATAAGTCCTTCTACTATATCAACAAAGTCAATCAAGTCCTTATACTTTAAATTCGACCAATTGAGCCCTCGAACTAATAAAAAACAATCAATTGAGCCGTTCAACCAGTAAATAACAAATCACAAATCTTCCGGTTAATTACCTACGTGGAACGTCCATTTGGCTTTTTTCCCTTTTCCCTTTTTTTCCGTCTTTCTTCTCCTTTCTCCGCTCCCAGCCACCTGGTTCTTTACTTCATCCTTCAATCCTTCTCCCAGTCTCGTATCTTCTTCCATTCGTCTGCAAAATGCTCCTACGCGAGCCCTGTAGAACCAGACCTCCATGTTTATGTTAAGGGCCTTGGTACAAGATCTAGTCCAAGGTCGATGATTCTGAGAAGAACAAGAAAAATATGAATCTATGGTGCCTGAAATATTAATCGACTCCCGCCCTCGGCAAGGAGTTTGTCGCAGGTTCCACCGTCATTTTCATTTTCATTTTCATTTACCCCAGTGCCGCAAAGGCTTCCACCTACGGTGGGGTAAGGGGGGGTCGGATGTACGCAGTCTTACCCCTGTACTAAAGCACAGAGAGACTGTTTCCGGATGACCCATAGTGAAAATCCCGTCCAAAATTGCATGGACTGACTGCTGCTTCATAACAAAGAAGCGCAGACAGTTTAGTGAGCCATTTTGCTTTATTCCATCATAATCTCAAGCCAAATAAAATTAATATTCCAAAGCTAATCTCATTAATCCAACTGATAAGCCTTAAATAGGCTAAAGACAAGTTTCCTAAAACAATAATAGGAAAGAAGTAATACAGAAACTCCTAAACTAGTATAAGGAAACCTGAATAAATAAACTCAAAGTAGGAAACTGATTTAATTAATTAAAATAGACTCAAAGTAGGAAACTGATTTAATTAATTAAAATAATGAGGACCACTCAAGCTGGTCCCTTCTTTGACCGCCTCTGCTAGACTCTGCCAAATCGACCCATATCAGTTTAGCGCACAGAACCCTGCAAGGAACACCATGGTGTCAGCGGCATCATCCTCCAGATCTGTGAAATCCACATCGACGAGGCCATCAAGGGCGCCAACCCGCCCGTCCAGATCTTGCTCAACCACCCCTGGAAGGAGTACTCACAGACTATCATGATGCAGCTGTGCATCGACGGCTTCATTAACCCGCTGGAACTCAAGCCCACCAGCTGGTCACTGTGGATGGGCAGCTTCGGGCTGGACACTTGCTTGTATGTGGAGTATCAGAAGAACAGAGGCGTCGGAGATTACACTGGCAAGAGGGTTGACCAGTTGACCGGAAGGGTAGCCAAAAGCACCAGTTCACCGCCGGAGTTTATTTTCAAGGAGATGGATGACTGGATCATGCCCACCGGAACTTTGTATGACTCTGGGATGGTCAAGACTGCCTAAATAATGTCATATTCATGAATTAAGTCCACTGAAAAAAAGCTCAGGGGGGTTGGGGTGGAAGAAGAAACCAGAGTGAGAGAGCAGGCGGGTGGGAGTGAAAAATAAAAAGAAAAAAAAGAAAAAAAAAATCCAACTGGACATTCCACGTAGGCAGGTTAACCGGAAGACTTGTTCCTTACCGGTTGAACTGCTCAATTGACTGTTTTTTATTAGTTGGAGGGTTCAATTGATCGAATCCAAAGTATGAGGATCTAATTGACTTTTTTGTATAGTAGTAGGACCTATTTGACAGTTTTCCCAAAAAATTAAAAAAATTCATGTAATTTTTTAAAAAAAAAACATTGTATACAACTCACATATGAGAAGCATAGTTAAATCAACAAATAAGTGTTAAAATCAGAAGTAGAATCAATGATTTATAGCAGAGGTACCTTACCAAATATTTAAATGTTGTCATTCTACATTAGTCAAGCAGAACTGCTTTTAGGGGGATGTAGTAAATTAGTAATGTATCAATGCATGTATTTTACTATTTTTTCATTTTCTCTACTGCTAGTATTCACCCTTATTTTAATCTTCCTCCATTCTTATTTGATTGTCAGGTTCTCAGTTCTGATTTGGGAGTTCTGAAGAAGGTATTAATGAGATGGTCAAATTGCTGGTTGATTATGTTCCATAAACATTGCCCTGACAGGCTGTCACAGTTTTTTGAAAGTGCAAAAGAACATAATTCATTATACCAAACAAAGAAAATCCTTGTGCAGGTTTCAGTATTGTGTGTGTGTCACCCCTTACATTTTATGTGATCTTACCTTTACTCTGTGTAAATGGCTCTCCCTTCTCTTTTCTGGTGCTGAATGGAGAATAATGGTTACAAGATGGGTATTGCATATTAATGCACCATTTTCCTATTTGGTGGGTGAGTGGGGGTTAAAGATCACCTGTGGACTATAAATTCATTGCATGTTTATAGGAAACTACAACAACAGTAACACCATCCAAGCCGCAGTCCCAAAAGACATATTTATAGAAAAATCTTGAATTAAATATTTACACCAAGTGCAGTTCAGTTATGTGGCATAAAATTTGAATCTGCACACCCTGCTGGAAATATAGTGAGTGTGTTTAGGATACACTTAGTTTGCATAGTTGAGTTTTATTTTCACTTAATGAGGCAGGTTCTAGAAGAAGGGAAGAGTTGGGAATACCCTAGAGAACCTTATGAAGTGAAAGCCAGGTAAAGACCACATTTGATGTTGTTGGACCTAATCTTTCGTGTCAGCTTGTGTTTATGCTCTTAGACGATGGTTTATGTGCTTGCTTTCTGCCGTTATATTGGGAGGAATATGATTTAGTAAATGTTTTTAGGATTTCTGCTAAGTCTGGAGATGGAAGAGTGATTTTGTCTGATACTCAGGATGAACCATATTCATTCACCTTTGGTAAATCTGAGGTAATAATGTAATCCTTGACATTTTCTCTTCCAAGTATCAAGTTATTTGGTTATTCTTTGCCCTTATGCTTAAAGGTTTACTGTGTGCATGGTTTTCTAAAACCTTATTATTCTTCATTATCATGCTATGATTTATATGAGTTGCAGAGTATGGGCTCTCATCATGTATTTCATTGTTATTTTTGGATTGTCAAGATTAGGTACCAATAGGTCTTGAAATGGGAATAGGATCAATGTCACAGGGAGAGAAAGCAGTGGTTTACGTTACACATCAATACTTGAATCAATCTCCACTGATACCTACAACAGAAGGCGTTGAGGAAATTATTTTTGAGGTGGAGCTTGTCCACTTCATTCAGGTTCATACTTCTCTTTTTATAATATCTTGTGGCTATTTTATGTTTAGTTTTTAATAAACTTCTATTTGTGCAATTGTTAGTATAATAAATTCTCCTACTCTTACATGATAAGTAGAGCTCTCAAATGTCATGACATGGTTATCTTAATTTTAAATTCCAAATGATTTGGTATGGCCTTTCTACTTTTTACTTTGATAATCAACTTTATAAAAATTCTAATTTTTCCTCTATAAAATTTCAAATAATCTACTTTATTTACTCCAAAGTAATGGTCTCTTTCCTACTCTAAATCATTAACTATGTACTCTTCCCAACTCCTTTTATGAGTTCTATCTATTATGATGGTTTGATTGGAAAATTTTAATTACAAATTTTCTCGCATTGTGGAATGTAGGGATTTAGATGGTCTCTTCTTGTTTCTATTCAAAAACCAAAAAAATCGTAATTGCTTCGGGACGATGTTTGCAGGTACGAGATGTGCTTGGAGATGGACGCTTAATCAAACGTCGTATTCGTGATGGAAGAGGTTTCCATTCTAACCAAGCCACTTCTTAGGATGTTTTTACTTGGACTGAAATTTTGTGGTCTGATTTGATGTGATAGATTTTTCCATCATTTGCAATGGAGCCAAAGATTCACTATTTTTTGGATTGCGAATATGATGGAATAAAGCAAAATGGCTCACTAAACTGTCTGCGCTTCTTTGTTATGAAGCAGCAGTCAGTCCATGCAATTTTGGAGCGATTTTCACTATGGGTCATCCGGAAACAGTCCCTTTGTGCTTTAGGACAGGGGTAAGACTGCGTACATCCGACCCCCCCTACCCCACCGTAGGTGGGAGCCTTTGCGGCACTAGGGTAAATGATGATTTGATGTGATAGATGTATGGTTTCAGTGTAATTTACAACTGTCAAGGTCTGGGACTGAAATAAGTCCAACTAAAAACGTCCTTATTCTGATTCATTATTTTGCAGCCTTGTTTGATGTATTAGTGACTCATTTACTATAATTGTTAGGTGAGTTTCCTATGGATTGCCCCCTTCAGGACAGTCTTTTGCGTGTCCACTACAAGGGCATGCTTCTTAATGACGAGAAAACAGTCTTTTATGATACGAAGTTTGACAACAATGGTCAACCCTTTGAGTTCAGTTCAGGAGAGGGGCTTGTAAGTCATTTGCATTTTGTAGAATTATGTGCTTTTTGTTTGTGTGTGTAAATTGTTTTCCTTTTCCATTGCTACTCGAGAATGATTCAGAACCTCTTTTTCATCTTCAGGTTCCTGAAGGATTTGAAATGTGTGTCCGGCTAATGGTGCCTGGAGAGGTTGCTCTTGTCACATGCCCTCCTGATTATGCTTATGATAAATTTAAAAGGTACTTTGTGATCAACATTACTCCCTCAATCCCATAAAATAGTTCTCAGTTTCCTTTTTGGAAAGTTGTGTGGCTACCATTCATTTACCTTTTTCTTACTCAACCACAACCATACATTTCCACTTTATTCTTACTTTCTTCAAGTCCGATCCAAGTCAAATTGGGAACTATTTTATAAGTCTGTTGTACTGTTGTTAACATTTGAACTGAGAGCATATTGAATTTTGTTGAATATTATGATCAGGCCACCTAATGTTCCTGAAGGCGCCTATGTCCAATGGGAAATTGAGCTTCTAGATTTTAACACACCAAAGGTAATAGAGCTGACAGTCGACTACTAATTTAGAAAGTATGAGAAGCACGGCACTGTACTGGGAGTGGGAGGACTGGTTTCTGTGTTCTGTCATTTAGCCACTGTTTGGTTGGGATAATTATTTAGGGGAGGGGTGGCGTGGGGAGAGGAGTGGTGGAGTATCTATAGAGTCATCCGAACTCCTCATATCTCACTCAGATTTGTGGGAGATGAGAGAAGTTATTTATCCCCTTAACGTGAAAAATGAGAATTTTTCACTTTTACTTCTTTCTGATGCACTATTACGCTTTTCTAATGCACTTTTACACTTATGGCAGAAAATTTTCAGTTAATTATGAATTCCTCACCACGTCATTCATCACTTTTTTCTAGCAATTTGGTGCTTTTACAGCCATTATAATATCTCAAATTCAACTCACCAAATGCATTCTCATTTCTTACAATAAACACTTCTCATTTGGTCCTAATTCTATGTGTGTGTTCAAATAAAAAGTCATCTTCCCATGTAAATGCAGCAGTGACATTTTGTTAAATAAGCCAAAATTTTCCATCACCACAAAAATGCATTACTTTGAAGTTTGAACGTGAAGGTGCATGATACTACTAAAAGTGCATCCATGTGCATTTTGCAGGGAAGCACTTTTTTAATGTGAACTTTACCCTATATGTATGTATATTTCTAATTCCACGCATTAAAAAAACATGTAAATCTAAATAAGGATCTGATAGAGTATATTACTAATCGCCTCCACCCCCCTCATTTGAACCAAACAAGGGTTTTAGGTTCTTTAACCCTTTTGATGGTTGCAGTCTTGTGATATTTCTTGTGCGTGTAAAATGTGATTATATTACAGGATTGGACTGGCTTTGGTTTTAGAGAAATAATGGAAGATGTTGAGAAGATTAAAAGCACGGTATATGTTAGTTGGCTGATTCTGGAATCACATGCCGGATAACATTCTAAACTTTTGGCTTTATTCTTCTTGTTTCCTATTTGTGATGGAGATAGTTCTCTTAGGGTGTTTGGGAGTGTGGGAGGAAGGGGAAGAGAAATGTTTGAAGGTATGTTGTTGGAGGGGGAAAGAGAGGGGAAGGTGAGTAAACCTTTCTTTGTATTTGGGAGTAATAAATTTGGAAGAAGAGTCTTTGAACAAATTTTAATTAAAATCACTTTGAGACCTGACGAAGTCAAATAATTGAACTAATATTCATTTTAAATTGAGCTTAAATTATCACTTCGTTAATTATTCTCCAGAACCCTCCAAATCGGGGGAACTTAAAAATTGAGCATTTAGAGGGTTTTGGAGGGTTACAAAAGCCCTCGAAAACCATCCCTTCCAATTTTTCGAACTCCCAAACATGAAAAGGAGGGTCATAAACCCCCATCAACCTTCCCCTCCCCTCTAACCCAACTCCCAAACATACCCTTAGATGATCGTTATAAAATGACACAATCCATTGTAATTTTCTCTACAGGGAAACAGGCTCTTCAAGGAAGGAATGTTTGAACTTGCGAAGGCAAAGTACGAGAAGGCATGTACTGTTTCATTTTCATGTTGTTGGAAGCTGATGAGTTCCAAATATTTTTTTCACAGCCTGCCCATTGAAGTTGCACTTTACGTTGCATTTTTTCTTCAGGTTCTTCGTGAATTTAATCACGTTCATCCTCAAGATGACGAAGAGGGAAAGGAATTCTCTGAAACCAGGGTATATCTGTTAACAGTAATATGTGGAAATTTAAAATTCCATCGGTCTGTTTACATATCTTTTAGCGAGTTAAAGAATAAAATGCTACTCTTAACAGTAGTTTCTTTGGTGTTGCAATGCACCTTAATGTGAACTCACAAATTAAATTTTTTGTATTTAGAACTTGTTGCATCTTAATGTTGCTGCCTGCTATCTGAAATTGGGAGAGAATAAAAAGTCCATAGAAGCATGCAATAAGGTAATCTGCGGCTTCATCTCTTCATTAATCATGGATTTCATTCATTATGAAGCATATTAGCAGCTATTAATATCGGTATATGTTGATACTTACTATTTAACTACACACTCCGGCTTTGTATTTCATTTCAACTTGAGAAAAAAGATGTGTATGACGGTACAACCTGCAAAATGAAATAGTTATAGACTTATAGTTCCATTTTCTCCAATGTTGATTGCCTACGGAATTGTCTTTTTTTCCCTCGTGATGTGCATTTACATCAAGTTCACTCTCACAAGATGACGGAAAATTCATAAAAAATACGAAGTATATGAACTCCAGAACAACATTGTGAGTTGTGAGTACTTTGAATAATTGGATCAAAGTTGTGTTGAGAAGATGCAATAGTAACTAAAAGATAAAGTTATTATCATTTTTTAAATTCACGAAATAGATTTTAAAATGAACGCATTACATTTTGTGACCACAAGGATAGTTACTCTAGAGAGCCAGGGATGGGAAGTAGTGGACATCGGCCAAGAAAGTTAATAGTATAAAATTATATCTCTGTTTTAGAGCAGACACAGGGATTTAATTACCAGTACGTAATTAGTTTAGAATTTTAGATACTGCGAAGTAAGGGTGATCGTCGGATCAATGTTGGTTTGCAGAAATTGTAAACCAATAACCGAACTGAATAGAAGTCAGCCGGTTTACCGAAATAGTAAACTGATAACTGAACCGAATAGAAGTCGGTCAGTCGGTTTGTAGACCCGAAGCATTCGGTTTGGTCGCTCGGTTTTCAGTTTTTCCATCCAGGTTGCCCACATCGATTTTAAACAATTTTGACCAAGTTTACCTTGTTTTTATGAACTTTAATATCTTTCAAAGAATGTTTTCACCTGTTAGCATGCTCAAAATACACAGTATAGTGCTTAAGTGATTAGAGTGGTTATAACTTTTGAGTACAATGGTGAAAGAAGTGGCAGTGATTGCTTTGAAATCATGCATGGGTTTTGTAATTTATGGGCTCAGTAGGTACTTGAAATTTTTAGGTGTTAGATGCAAATCCTTTTCACGTCAAAGCATATTATAGAAGGGGAATGGCTTACATGGCAGCTGGAGATTTTCAAGAAGCAAGGGATGATTTTAACAAGGTAAACATGATCTAGTTATGAAGTCATAATACCAAGTTAAGCATCTACAATGTTTTGAGTTTAATTTGTATGATTTTGTTATAGATGATGAGCATTGACAAGTCATCCGAGTCAACCTCAAGTGCAGCACTTATGAAATTAAAAAAAGAAGAGCAGGTGAGTTGCACTCAAGTCCATATGCATATATGCTTTCGTTCAAGACTGGCATAATAAGAACGTTAATAATAATATTTCTTATTATGATATTATGTTAATTGTTTATTACTCCCTCCGGTTCTCAAAGAGCTTCACACAGATTAACAAACTAAAATTGACTTTACCGTGGAGTGCACTGTTTGACACTGTTTGACACTATTTTGGTGTAGATAATTTGCCAAATAAGGAAATAAGAAGAAGTGTGAAGTTAATTTCGGGACTTCCCGAAAAGGAAAGTGGAAAGTTGTTTGAGAACCGGAGAGTATTATAAATAATGAGGTACCGCATATCTATGACCCAAATAAAGATTGTACAAAAATGTGACCTCTTATATAGAGTGACTATGTTAGTAACTTTCAGCGACTATTATTGTGTTCAACATTACGGTCTTTACACTATAGTGACCATGAAGTTATGCACATTATAACTTTAGTCATATTTTTGTCCATAATTTTTATTTTGAGTAATATTCTAGGAAAAATCTCTTATTACTATTAGTCCACTAGTTCGTCCGTAGTTTTTTTTTTTAAATTTGACTTTGTACACTTACTATGAAAACAAATTGTGTGGTTAAGAACTAATTAGAAAGGAAAAAATCAATTTCTACCAGACACTTGTTTCTTTAAAGAAAACACAAAGATTATCTAGAGGTACCAGAACGGAAAATCACAGGATTAAATAAGAATAATAATTATAATAGTTGTTGTAAATGCTGAAATTTGATGAGCAGGAAGTGCATAGGAGAGCTCGTAAGCAATTTAAAGGATTATTTGACAAGAGACCAGGTGAAATTGCTGAAGCTGATGCTGGGGACGTAGTTAAAATTGAAAAGCATGAAGAGGGCCATGAAACCAGAAGCTTCCTTTCTGCTGAAGCTGGTATTGATCAGGGTGCTGATATTCCACCTCGCATGGGTATCGTGTCCAAGTGCAGAAAATTATTCGAATCTCTTGGACTAAACAGATGCACCATATTGTGAGTTTTTGGTTTACGCTGTTAACTTTCTCCTGTTATGACACCAGATATAAGCATGCCACCCACGAGAAGAAAATTAGGACTCTTTCATTTAGTACATCAATTCCTAAACTCATGTCTTTAATGTATGTACCATTATTATGCTTATCACTCTTGAAAGAGTTAATACCAGATGTAAGTTAGAACTGGCGTCTGTCAGGAATTGGATCCAGACCGTGAAATAAAAGGTTCTTGAATCACCAGACTATAATGTGATCCTTCAATTATAGATGAGTATTGGACAACCAGCGGAAATTGAAATATTGAATAGCATCAACGGTTAACTAAAAGTGGTGTTTTCCGCTTTCCCTCGGAGAACAACTTCAAATGCAAAATATTCCACGAAAGAACAATACCCAAAAGATGTGACAATTATGAGAAGACTACGTTTATAAATCAAGAATTTAGATAATAAAGATGGGCTCTACTTTGTCTAGGGTTGTGCCTGGTTACGTTTCATTATTTCAAACGAGTGATGTGTTATGAATTAAATCACAAGAACCCCATTTAGAAAAATGATGGTGTTGTAGAAAATATGAATGTAAGAGTAGGAGAAGAATTGCACTACAGTAAGAATGTTTTACTATGATGTATTATAAGAATATTTTGCATTCAAGCTTTGATGATTCTCCTCCAAAAGGAACCAATGACCCAAAAACAACAAACATTGGATCTGAAAGTCGGACGGTCGGGTAAACAAATAAGAACAAGACTAGAGATGGTCTCGTAGTTCAGAATGTTAATCTAGTTCGATCTTGAGTGAATAATTAACCAATTCAAGATTGGGACAATGCCCACACCTAGCTAAAACTCTAAAAGCCTAAAACCCACATAAAATGACTAAGATTGATGGACAATTTTTGACAGTGAATTGAAAATCTTGTGTAGATTCCATCATTTTGAAATTCTGGTGTAGATGACAGGAAGAAGAAGGTCTGGTGCAATGAAGAGAAATGAACGGACAGGATGGGCCGCTGGGTGCATTTGTCTAGACAATCACTTTTTTGTCCAATCTTAAAGTGTCTTATTTTTGTCATTTGAAAGTTATCTAGTACTACCTCCGTTCCACTAACAATGAGATAAGCTGATAAGAGGGAATGACACGCAAACCAATATAAAGTAAGAACAAGAAATAGAGTGAAAACGTTCTAATATATGACCAATTTGTTAGAAAATTGTTGAATCATAAAATATTTTTACCACACCATAATACCATATTCGAAGTTTATCGTTACATATTGTTTTACAACCAACATAAAGAGCACAGTAGACCCAAAAAATAATGTTGCTCTATTCAGAACCCCAAAGAAGATGGTAGACAAAAACATTGAAGAGATAAATACCCGAACAAATACCCAGAGAAGCAACGGCTACAATGAAACACATAGCAGCATGCACCAACTTCTCCCACTTGAGTTTGGTCAAACTCGAACTCGAGCCAAAATATATAGTTCATTCATGCTCGAGCTAAATATGGTTGTGTTATGATTGAATATGCAAGTAAATTTGTTATGATCTCTAAATTATGTAAAAATACTAATCATTTTCCACTTATTTGATGATTAAATTTGTTCAATGTGTTTTCCGCATGAATAATTATAATTATAAAACAGATGCGCTGAATTTATATATCATAAGGTGATTTGACGCATTAAACCCTCATTTGGGCCTTGTTTTCCTAGAATAAGATATAGAGAAAAACTAATACCACGAGTACTAGCGTAAAACATGAAACATAGAATAATTTATACTATATTGTTTTCTTTTTACGCCTTTTACTAGTATAGCATCTGTGTAACATATGTGTGATACATTGTATGTGAGTTTTCTAAAATATGCATATAAACATGATTTGAATTTAAAAAGGTGCACTGAGGTGCTAAGATGTTATTTGATTTCACCATAAAAAGTAAAGTGTGACAATTCAACTATATAAAATAATATCAATTGATTAATACTCGCTTTGTCAGCCTATTCTCTTGATTTTGCATCGTTAGGCAAGATTGCCCATTGGGCGCCCGCCGATCTCGCTGATGACGATCGACACCCTACCTTAACGTTTCCCAAGGCTTCACAATGGCATGCGCCGACCGGGACGATTGGACCACGAGTGCCCACCAACCAGTGGTGTTGTTGACTGGTCCCTCTCGCCTATTGGAATCCCCACGTTGGAGCTCGACAGTGTCCACCCGTGGCTAACATGAAACAACAATAAAGAGCCACGAGTAAGAGAGGAAACATGGGGCGCTATAGCGTAAAAACAACCTATGCGAGCCTCCCGCGTGCAATCTTCCGTCACATATATACTCTGGTCAATCAGTATGTCCACCGAAACCTTTCTGATTGCCCCATGCAAACGCTCATTCATGGGTGGCTCCTCGATCTACGAGGAAAGGCATTCAAATAGTTTATTAATAGACATCAAGGACCCGCGCACAAAAAACCTCCCCATCCAACCATGGCCACGTGTACCTGCCATGCGGAAGAGCTCGCACGAGAGGTGACGTTTAGGTAGCCTTCGCTGCTATGGGGACACACCCGAAAGAAGTGTTGAAACAACGTAAAACTCAACTGCTTGCCAGCCTCCCCTCTAATGGATTAGGAAAGCCGCGATCACACGGTAGCCACTCGGCACAATCTGTACTGGGATTATCTCGTACCGGTTGAGGATGTTAACAACAAGATTTGGATGGGGGAGCAGATGCCCGCCAACAAGAAAAAGGCCATGAGACAGGAGGAACGGTGTATATCTGATCGGATGAAGAAAAGCACGACGCAGAGAGACAAGTGCTAGGAGAATTCGAGAGATGCCAAGGGAGAAAAAATATACAAGGGGTATTCATAGCAAAGGCGACCACCTCGAAAGCTAGATACAACACAACATGTGCCTAGGAAAGTGGTAGTGCACACGTCAATCATATGCATAACGTCGTCGTCATAATTGCTTGACTTGATCCCTGAAAACCGCTCTCAAGCACTCATGATGCTCCGGTAGTACTGACTCAATGTTTCCCGAGCGCGTTGTTGAATTAAATACTTCCTTATGCCTCTTGTACACTCAAGAGATTAGTAGAAGTGGAAGACTTGTGTTGAGATTCAAACATATGCCGACCCAACAGTACCATTAAAACCATCCTTTGCCTTACCTCCTCCCATCACACAAGAATCAAGACTGGGTGCCCTCCTAAGACCAAATAGGGCCACAAAAGAGGCTGAACATTAGGGGCACACACAAAAGATTGAGAGGGGGGAGCGCCCCCAATCTGGTTGAGCGACTTTCAAACACGAGATTTGGAGAAAAATTTGTGGATATCACACTACAGTTTGGCCGTCACCTTTTTTGGTAAGGGTAGCGATGAACATATTGGTTATGTTCAATTGAATCCAACTCTATCAAATTGAAATAAACTGAACCGAAATCGAACCATATGCAATTCGATTTGAGTTTGGTTATTTTTCCCATTCGAACGAAACCAAAAAATGAACAAAATATTATTATAATATAATTAAAAATAACAAATTGACATTAATTGAACTAATTCAAATTGACCAATTCAAAATTTTTGTTTGGTACTTATTCCTCCCATCCTTTTTAAATTGAAAGAGTTTTGCTATGAGTACCCCAAAATATACCCCATTTTTACCCACCCCTAATGTGCGGTCATAATTAAATGGGGCAATTCATTTAAGTGAGACACCACCTAAATGAATTGACCCATTTATGGCCGTACATTATACTATCAAAAATGCTATTGTTACACACTTTCCATACACACAAATACACACTATAAATACTCCCAAAAAAGAAATTACCCACTTTCCCTCACCTCTCTCACACCTGTCAAAAAAACCCCAATCCCAAATTTTCGCACATCCCCCCTTCTCCCTTCCTCTAACAGTCGCTGGCCATCGAAGAAACCCCCCCCCCCCCCCCCCCCCCCCCGCTCCCAATTTTTTTGCGCACCCCCTTTCCCTCCCCGTCGCTGGCCGTCGAAGAAAACCGTCGCCCTCCTCCCCGTCGCTGGAAGCTTCTTTTCCATCAAAGGTTGTTGACGAAAACCGCCACACCCTTCCCTTTAAACAAGTCTATCGAACGCAACCCTCCTCTCGGCCACCCTCATCCCGGCCAACCGTCGTCGATTCTGTCTCACTCCAACAATCCAAAATGGTGTGAACCCCACTTTGTTCCATGGCCGAAAGGTATGTATCCTCTATCTTTGGATTTTTAACAATTTAAGGCTACTTGATGATATTTATTTGGAGGGTTCATAAGATATTTTTGTTTATGAATTTTTGGAACCCATTTATTGTTTAGATTTTGAACAATATACATTTGTTTGGGGATATGTCATTACTTTCTACGTATTGTCTGTGTAAGGTTAATTTTATGTCTGTTGAAGGACATATGTATTGTCAGTGTGAAGATACATTTGTGTAGTTATTTGTCAGTGTGAACTTATATGTAATTGGATATGGCTCCATTTGTCTGTGAAGACTTATATGATTGTCTGTATAAGTCTACATATGTCTGTGTGAGTAATATGATTGTCTGTGTGACTCTACTAAAACAGGTCCAAATGAAAAATGTGTAGGACTTTGGAAAAGTAATGAATTTTCCAATGTATTGTACAATTGTGATTCACTTCTCCAACCGATGATCAAATTCCTTAAAATACCTTGGTTAATTTGGACTTTGGGTACCTTATAGATTAATGAAGTGTGGAATGTGACTACTTAAATATGGATTCTTTTCCCAAAATGAATTCTTCCACATTTACTTTGTTTTCCTCGAATTTAAGTTGATCCGGAGTACTGTTTTAGAAAAAGTCAAAAAAACATATAAGTATGAGTTTAAATGTTTGGCTTTCTCATACTTCTCATTTTATAATAATGAGTGGAGAGTTGTTCATACTTTGTTCTTATGAGTTTGTAATTTAGTTGGTTAAAAGGAAATGATGCAATATAAAAGTAAAGCATTGTTTATGTGTGCAAATAGAATTTATTTCGATGAGTTTCTATGTCTACTATAACGAACATGTTATAATAACTACTTTCATCTAAGAATTTGTGTCTAGTCCCTTTCAGGTCTCTTATGATTTTTGTTTTTGTTTTGTTTTGAGTATGCCAGAACAATTTCACAAACCCCAGATCATTTATACAATGCTTAGAACCAAAGAGCAAGGTGAAAGCCAAGGGACTAGTGTGTTATTCTCGGATATAATTTCAAATTTGATTACTTTAAGTAGTTTAATTTATACTTGTTTTACATTCAATCTTTCACTTCTTTTACAAAATAAAGAATATTATCAATGGAGACCGTTGGACTACTTGGGTGGACTTCTTGAGTCTACTATCAATGCAAAGTACTATAATGCAAGAACAAGAGGGTCAAAGCACATGATGATTAAAAATTTAATTCTTGTAATTATTTTGTTTGTAAATTTAATGTTTTTGTATTTAGAATGTAAGTGTATTTAGATTGGATTTTATTTATAAAGATATATCTTGCATGTTATGAAAAATGAATATGACTTTGGTGTTATTGAATTTCAAACGCAAGTGTAATTGAAATTGTTATGGAATATAATAGTTGTGTGACAATGTGTTTGTTCTTCACAGACACACAATGTGTTTGTGGGCAGATGTTAAATTGTACTTTAACAAACCTTGTAAATTGTAAATGTTTTTGCAAAGAGTTCCTTATCCAAACAATACAAAATCGGATACATAACACAGACAAATATGCGACAAATCACAGACAGAGTGTTTGTTCTTCACAGACACACAATGTGTTTGTGGGCAGATATTAAAGTCTACTTTAACAAACATTGTAAATTGTAAATGTTTTTGCAAAGATTCTCTTATTCGAACAATACAAAATCAGATACATAACACACACAAATACGCCACAAATCACAGACACAGTGTTTGTTCTTCACAGACACACAATGTGTTTGTGGGCAGATATTAAAGTGTACTTTAACAAACCTTGTAAATTGTAAATGTTTTTACAAAGAGTCCCTTATTCAAACAATACAAAATCGGATACATAGCACAGACAAATACGCCACAAATCATAGACAAAGTGTTTGTTCTTCACAGACACACAATGTGTTTGTGGGCAGATATTAAAGTGTACTTTAACAAACCTTGTAAATTGTAAATGTTTTTGCAAAGAGTCTCTTATTCGAACAATACAAAACCGGATACATAGCACAGCCAAATACGCCACAAATCACAGACAAGATGTTTGTTCTTCACAGACACACAATGTGTTTGTGGGCAGATATTAAAGTGTACTTTAACAAACCTTGTAAATTGTGAATGTTTTTGCAAAGAGTCCCTTATTCAAACAATACAAAATCGGATACATAGCACAGACAAATACGCTACAAATCACAGACAGAGTGTTTGTTCTTCACAAACACACAATGTGTTTGTGGGCAGATATTAAAGTGTACTTTAACAAACCTTGTAAATTGTAAATGTTTTTGCAAAGAGTCTCTTATTCGAACAATACAAAATCGGATACATAGCACAGACAAATACTCCACAAATCACAGACACAGTGTTTGTTCTTCGCAGACACACAATTTGTTTGTGGGCACAACACAACTTATGTATTTCCATAACACCAATACAAAAATTCATGCTTAAACATTTCCAATACAAAAATGTCTAATACAAAATTCATGCAATTAAACTTGTTTTTCAGTACATTTCAATCCCTCTCTTTCTGGCATCATTCCATTTGTCACATGAGGTGTTGCCCAAATATATAAACAAGAAGGTTCTTTGTCTTCAAAACATGCAATGCCATTTCCCTGAAAATTACAATGTAAAACAAACGTAGAACACAATAAAAATTATAATGAAGTGAATCCTTTTTATATATATACTGTAAAACTCACAAGTTATATGTGCTTCAACAAGTATTCAAAGCATATATGGAATTTCAAGCATCTTTTTTATATTATTCATCAAAACTCTCATTTGTATATTATTCATTCACAACAATGCCATACAATGCTCTTTAAATCTAGAGTAAAAAGCTCTTTAAACCTAGAGTAAACATGAGCAAGCAGCAAAAAAATCTAGAAAAAAGTTATAAACCACTCAACCAAGCTCACCAAATAATTCACATAAACCATAAGTACATTTACGCATTTCAAACATAAGTACATTTACGCAGAGACAGTGGTAGATTTACGCACAGACATAAGTACATATACCCACAGATACAAGTATATTTACACAAAAACATAAGTAAATTTATAACATTTTGAACACAAACAAGATTATATACACTTCACAAACACACAGACGATATTGTTTCAACCCATTCAGCCCCAAAAGAAAGAAAGTTGGGGGTTGTATGTGTTGAGCTACTGTGGGAAGAAGAAAGAAAGAAGGAAGCTAACGGGAAGAGAAGAGAAAGTGTTGGGGGTGAGTGGGTTGTTTCGCACGAGAGGGAGGGGAGGGGGTAAAAAATGATAATTTTTTAGTCTATTTATAGTGTGCATGTGTGTATGAAAAGTGTGTACCAAAAGCAAAATTGTTATAGTATAGGGGTGAGGAAAAAAGGAGATAGTTTTGAGGTATCTACGGCATTTGTGAAATCGAAATGAACTAAAATCCATAAAAATGGAATTGAAACCGACCTGTCCACCCCAGGTTTCGGGAATGCTGCAAATAACAGAATGATGGGAATGAACAAAAAATGTTCTAAATTGTGAGGGAGAAGCAGGCGAGAAAGTTAGCGTTATGTGAAGTTTTGAACGCATGCCACCAACGCGGATGCTCGCGCTACGACTACCCACCACGGCTGCGGCCGGTTTGGCTGCACAATCATTCCTACGGAGAGGCATGACGTCCTTAATACTTCCCCGCTCTAGTGACCCAATGACGGGCCTCTACACCACTGGGCTCTTTCTCAACAGAACACCTCTTAGATCTTCAGGTTCATCCTATGCTATTTATTTCTCTTCAATGGGGCCGTGTTATTGAGCATAGTAAATGTACTGCTTTACATTTTAATGTTACTCGACGATAGTGTGCTTATCTTGTTATTATGTAACAAAGTTGAAGACTTGAGGCGGGCTTTAGACATATACTGACAAAAAATGGTTTCTTTAGGAAAAGTCCCCCCTTTTTTGTTTCCCCCCAAGACTTGTATTTGCTTTAGTTTCGGAGGCTTTCTGTGCCTCAGTTTCAGAGGCTTTCTGTGCCTCAGTTTGTCAGAAGTGATATCAGGAAACTCAGATCACAGGACAAGTGGGAGTCATACAACTGTACAAGCTGACCACTTCTTACACTTCAATCATCACCGGATAGGTCTTGAGTTCAAATCAACAAGGAGTTGAATTTGGGACGCTTTTCTCAACAAGATCCTGTTGTGATATCTTTTAAAGTAATTACTTTGTAGTTTGTATGCAAATGATTAATAAAACCATATCTACTAATACTAAGCACTCGATGAAATTAGGTTAGAAATGAATTTTGTAAAAGGGTATAATTTCAACAGTTCTCCATCATTTGCAATGGAGCCAAAGACTCACTATTTTTGGCTTGGGAATATGATAGAATAAATCAAAATGACTCATTAAACTATCTGCGCTTCTTTGTTATGAAGCAGCAGTCAGTTCATGCAATTTTCGTTGAGCTTTTCACTATGGGTCATCCGGAAACGGTCTCTCCCTGCTTTAGTACAAGGATAAGGCTGCGTACATCTGACCCTCGCTCATCCCACCATAGGTGGGAGCCATTGCGGCACTGGGGTAATGATGATGATGTTGTTGTCATTTCGATAGTAGGTTTAGCTTGCTTGCTTCTTGGGAAATGCGACGAGTGAATTTGACCTTCAATATGACAACCCATTGTGCACATAGTTAGACGTTATGACTTGACTTGCTCCTTTCATTGCATCTCCAGTTTACCACTCACAAGGCTTATATAAAGCCTTCTTAATAAATTTCAGTCTAGAACTGTCTATTCATTTCACCTTTGCTCTCTTGTCCAGAGTGTACATCTTTTATTGCAGTGTTTATAATCCCATTCTTGGCTAGGTGCACCATTGCACTACAAAATGTTCATATAACTATATAAGTGTCTTCTCACCAGCCTCAAGAGTTCCCCCTCCCAACAAATACAGCTGCTCAACGGAGCCTAGTTCCTAACAAAACCCGTAACCACAATAGAGAAAAGGGAATAATTGGGTATGGGTACATAAATTATAAATGTGTACTTTCATATATGTGGCTCCACAACGTGTGTGTGGGGTGGGGGTGGGGGACTGTCAAAGACTTAATATTGCATTTTCTTTTGTTTTGGTATGGTTTAAATGATGCAAGTCATTAACGCTTGCATAACTCCTATAAAATCAGTACCTAATACTCCAACTGGATGTGGCAGCATCTATAGGGTCTAGAAAATGAACGTTTTTTTACTCCTACTCTATGATTTGTCTGACCCAATTATGATTTATGTATTGTCACCTCATGTAGTAACTACTATTAGGTGGTGGATTTCTATGGGAATTCTCACATTATCCTTATATGTATACTCCCAACAAGCCATTAGATTTATATCTGTTGTGAAAAATGTAATTCCTGGATAGCTGATTAGCTGCATGCTTGTTTAAGCAGCATTTGGAATATGCAGTGCAACACATGCTATAAAGGGTGATGTGGAAGGTTTTACAAAAGGAGGAGACAAGGATACAATTGAGAATGTTAAGCACATTATGGAAATGGTATATTGCTACTTTGCAGGTTTCACACACATTTATTATTCTTTATTTGTAGAATTTTTTTATTTAAAATTTTCAACTTCTTTCCTTTTGAAATCATTAAGAAATTGTTTTTAAGGATCTTCTAGTTCCTATTCTGTAGACATTCTTAATGGTCTATGTTGTGTTCAAAACAGGCAGAGCGAGCATCTTTAAGGAGAGAAGTTTTACATACAGATTTTCTCACACCACTTGTACTAAAAGAATCAATGCTAGTGGTAGGAAAGTTGATCAATGTCAAAGCTATTGCTCAGGGAGGGTACCCAGAGGTTAGATTACTATTATATCTTGCCTGCCAAAAGAATGATTTTGGAACAGAACTATTAGTAACCTTAACTATCCTAGGCTGAACGTTGCAGACTCTCAGTTGGACATCCCGAGGTCTTGGCAACTGATCCAGATATTGTTTCAGCCATAAGGTAGATTAGACCCAACCTACTCATCAATCTATCATTTAGTTGCATAGTTGTATCTCAATTCTCGTTCAATTCATTGGTGCTTTTGATGTTATTGAGAAATGGTCTCGCTTCCTAGTATTTCAGGGAACTTCTCCTTTGAGCCTTGTTCTCATGGTGATTTCCTTGGAGCAATCCTCGGCACAGGAATTTCCAGAAATAAGTTGGGAGATATTGTCTTGCAGGTACTCTCAATCCATGTGCTTTGGGAGTCGTGAAAAAATAATTCACCCTGACAAACTCTGATTCTTTAGTAATGGACACTTTTTTAAAAATACTGAAGTGCAAGGCTACATTTAGAACTCGGATAATGGTAGGGAAAAACATAAATTTTAAGGAAATTGATTTTCCTATGTATGACTTTTTACCTTAGAAAATACAAGAGAACCAAACTTGATTATAAAATTAAAATTTTAAATATATGTATATTGCACTTACCTGCATATCTAAAATTGATTAATTGAGTTTGGACAAGCACTTTTCAATTCCCCCCACATTTTTCCCATCTACTTCCCTAAGATAGGGTTTGGTCACTTAAAGCCATTGCCTGATAAGTTAAGTGACTGCTCCAGTTTCACAAAAAAAGACCCGTGTGCCTCGACTTTCATTAAGATGTATAGTTGTGCTTTGGAGATCCACCCTTCACATAACAACGAGGTAAGGGTCAGTTTGATCCTCGAAGTTGCATAAAAGGGGTCAAATAAGTCCTTATAACATCTTTACTGTCCGGCCATCGCCATTTGGGGCAGTTCCCGGTGGAATTTTTTGATGATATTTTTTGAGCATCTTATTCATTAAGTCTAGTTTACTCATACCAAATTTCAGCCAAAACTTAAATCGGGAAGGCATTCAAATGAAGTCTTGAAGATAACTGCGCTTTTAACTGCGCAGTTATCTTCAAGACTTCATTTGAATGCCTTCCCGATTTAAGTTTTATCTGAAATTTGGTATGAGTAAACTAGACTTAATGAATAAGATGCTCAAATTTTTTTATCAAAAAACTCCACTGGGAACCGCCCCAAATGACGACTCCCGGACAATAAGGACGTTATAAGGACTTATTTGACCCCTTTTATGCAACTTCGAGGACCAAACTGACCCTTACCTCACATAATAACTGTCAATCAGAACAAGTAATTCCAAATCAAACTCAAACACCTGGTGTAAGTACATTGGCATCTTAATGAAATGAAAATGATTATGACTCATAACAAAAGTCCAATTTATATTTATATCGCAAAACTCCATCCCAAAATGTCATGAAAACATCAAATAAAAGGCAAGCAGGTGACAAGCTGCACCACCAAATACTCGAGTCATGATGTTGCTATTCATGACTTTCTGGACATCTTTAGGAGCTCCACCATTTGTGGTTCCAAAATGCCAAAAGTGTGAAGTTGAAATGAATAAAGGTGTGTTGATTATTGACGCAGGCCAGCTCATGCTTCTGAACCTTTGCTGACTTGCAGTCTGTCCCACAGTGAACTAGTTTCCCATTGCATCATACTGTTATTATGCATGTTTGCAAGCTTAAGTATTTGTGTTATTTGACATTTTCCTCATGAGTTTAATCCATTAGGTCAAGTTATCTTTGCACATATCTGGTGTCTATTGACTTCCAGACCTTTATATGCAATTTTAGGGAGAAAAGGGAGGCCAAGTCCTTATTGTTCCAGAACTAGCTGACTTTCTCATATCGACGTTGAACAAGGTAGTACTCCTAGGGCAATCATCCGCACCATCTTAGGTAGTATTTCCATAAATTCTGAAAAGATAATCCATACTATCTCTTGTCCACTTGTTTATATGAAACAATTATGCAATATGCACAATTGCACATTAATTTCAAATTACTTTTGTAGTATTTCTAGCCTTCTAGTTCAATCATCCGGACTATCTTAGATAGCACTTCTAGGTTGATCGTTCACACTATCTTAGGTAGTATTGCTAACTATACATGCTCGGATTAGATTTCATTCACTCCCTGCGAATTTTGAAAAGTTGAGAAAAATGTATGTGTAAACCTTATGCATGTTTAAACTTCATATCTTAAATTACTCTTGTTACATTAGATGCTAATCAATATGCTATAGAGTATAGACTATAGCCATCTGCTTTTGGCTTTTAATAGTACACAAAGAAAGAGTAGGAAATTAGGAATACTGAAAAATGTGACCCCTTTGGTCTCTACTACGTAGTATTGTTTATTGAATATTGATAAATAAAGTTTATATAATTTTAAAGCTATATGAACAGTAGTTCAATACCCCTCCATCCTACAAAAACTTGGCCAAATTTTCTTTTAGCCGTCCCAAAGTACTCCGCCATTTTCATTTAAAGTAATGAATAGGTGGCTAAAGTAGTTTCGCTCTCCTTTGCACAAATCTCAACCACACATTTTTTACTTTATTTCTATGTGCAAGTCAAACTTGGTCAAGTTTTGTGGGACGGAGGAAGTATTGAACACACAAGACTACACTATAAAATAATACTCCCTCCGGTCCCAAATGAAATTCACACTTTCCTTTTTGGGTAGGTCCAAAATAAACTTCACACTTCTCCCTTCCTTATTTGGCAAATTATCTACATCAAAACAATGCAAAATAGTGCCAAACAGTGTCAAACAGTGTACTCTTCAGCAAAGTCAAATTTATTTACTTAATTTGTGTGAAGTCAAAGTGTGAATTTCATTTGGGACCGGAGGGAGTATTTAAACAAAATAAGCAAACAGTTGGGAGTTGAGTTGATATATAGATGATAACTAGGATAGGTTAAATGGAAAAGATGGAGTATCTTTTTGCAAAATAAGTAAAGGAAAACGGAAAATAATAATCCCACCTTTTAGCGGTTTTCTTAGAATAGTCCCACCTAACCGTAATTCAGGATTAATCCCACCTTCGCACCTCATTTTCTTTTATCGATCTCTGACCAGTCGATGACCTGTTATTTTAGGTTATTTTCCTTTCTTTGCAATCCATTAAACCATAAATCCCAAAATTCACAAATCTTCTCCAAGCGGTCCCACATATCATTTTTCTTTTTTCTCCCTAAAAATTTTCTCTTTCTATTTTTCTTGACTCTTTTATTCCTCTTTTCCGTTTTCTTTTTTTTTTTATTTCTTTTCCGTGTTTATGTATTCCATTTTTTCCTTCTTCATCTTTATTATTTCATTTCCATTTTTATGTACTTTTTCGGATTAGTTCCCTTCATATAAAAGATTTTTTTCTCACCCTACTAACTTTTTACTTTAGTTTCTTTTTACTTACACTTATTTATTTCCTTTTTCCTTTTCTTACCTCGATTCCACCACTAATATATTTTTCTCTTTTCTGAAAAATTCAAAGAAAAATATTAATAAGTAGCCAGAAAAAATTATAAAAAGAGACTACAAGGAATAGGAATACATAAAAAGGAAAGAAAATAAAAATGGAGGAGAAGAAGAAGAAGAAAAAAGAAAAATCTATCGAAAGAAATTTCTATAAAAAAACTGTGATAGTAAATGGATAAAGGAATACATAAACAAAATAAATAAATGAAAATAAAAAAGAAGAAAAAGGAATAAAAGCATTGTGATGATAAAGAAAAAAGAGAGAAAACTTTTAGGAAGAAAAAAGAAAAAACATATGTGGGACCGTTTTGAGAACATTTGTAGAATGTGGGATTTAGGGTTTAATGATTTACAAAGAAAAGAAACTAAGTTTACATTTTATTGCATGAGTATGCTATTTCTTTTTCCTGCTTTGCAGGTTGGAAATGTTACTGTCTCCTGTAAAAAGATTCCATTGCTTGCACTTGAATATGAACCTCCAAGGTTACTATATGATATTCCATTATTATCACTCCATTCCAAATTACTTGTGTTATTCATTATTCATTATTTCTTTTTCCCTCATCTTTTTTTTTTCGTAGTTTTTTTATCCTTATATATATATATATATATATATATTTATAAGCATTATTTGCAACCTTTTTATTTTATCATTTATATATATATTCATCTTTTTTATATTATCTTTTCATAATAGCTTATCTTTTTATCTTTATTCCTTCTTTTCCTTTTGGTTGTGATATCATGTATCGATTCATGTTAGCCGACCCCAATATCTTTTGGGACTAAGGCTTGGATGTTGTTGTTGTTGTTGTATTCATTATTCATCAGTCAATTTAGCTCTTTTTAATATTGAATCTTATGTACCGAACATTTGTTAGATTCAATGATTCAAATTCAATTTTTGTGATTCAATAGGACTTTAGTTTTAGTTTCTAAATATGTAAATTTTAACCACTAATTTAAATATTGTTGTTAGGTTATAGAAGGTGAGCTGAACATAAAACCGTAAATAACTTATCAAAAATGATTAAAGAAGGTAAATACGAAAGAAGTTAAGAGCAAATGAAGAGATGATAATAAGAGTCTTAGACGAAAGGTCAATGCTCAACATATTAGGAATACGAAAAAGTTGTCCAAAATGAGGTTAGTAAGCTTAAGCATTACAAGATGTTAGCCTAATAGAACTATTGAAGATACTACTGCCTAAGTTTTTACCGTTCCATGTTTCGAGACAAACCTTGGCCTTTTTTGGTCTTCCGCTACCTAATTGACTGGCAATCCCCTTCGGTCTGCCCAAACTATCTCTTCACACTGTTAGGTTTGTGAGTTAATTATATCCAACAACAACAACATTAGTACATTACCCCAGTGCCGCAAAGGCTCCCACCTACGGTGGGGTAAAGGGGTCAGACGTACACAGCCTTGCCCCTATACACATGGAAACGAAACGCAAACTAAGAGTCGCAGACCTAGGAAATGACAATTCAAATCTGCGCAATGACCGGAAACGGCGTTTTCAAGCTGCGCGACGACTGGAAACGGCGAATACAATCGCTGCAAACATTGTTTGGGATCGATTTGAAGATCGATTGAGATCGACTATGAACAGCGACTGGGAACGACTCGAATAACGTACCGCATAGCGTTCCGACTAGCGACCGGATCATTTTCGTACCACGATTGGGTACGGAACGATCAGTACACAGATCGCGCCTCCTGTAGTGATTTATGTATCTATGCTTCAAACAAAGAAGCATAGACAATTTAGTGAACAATTTTGCTTTATTCCATCATATTCACAGGCCAAAAAATAGTGAGTCTTTGGCTTCACTGGAAATGATGGAACAAGGCAATTATATCCATTATGAAAAATTAAACTTTATCTTCAACCAAGTCTTGTAATCCGAGTGAAACACTATTAGAACGAAGGGAGTATCAATTTCGTATATATTTTAGGGGGGCAGAGGTTGATCTAGAGATTAGAGACGTCTCCTCTTGCATTGACTCTCACGTGAATATCTTTCAACAACAACCCTACAGGGCCCTTGATACCCATGTAGTCGGTTTGATTATGTTCTCTCTTTCAATGTTTGATAATTTCTTGGCCTCTTGTGCATGGGGTCTAATTGGTGCATTTTTTTACTCTTCTCAGGACGAAGTTGCTAAAAGCGGTAGAAGCATCATTGAGACTTGATGCAATAGCAAGTGCAGGGTTCAAACTCTCGCGTACCAAAATGGCAAGTCTCATAAGGTACATTTCCTTCCATTTTCATTTTCATTGTAAACCAATTACAACAGCCTTGGCCCTCGGGAGATGTAATTAAATATGAGAAGTTATAGAAATATAGGTGGATTATAATCTATTACTTGTATAATGTCCATAAGACAAACATTATTATGTTCCCAATTTCAATGCATGATGTTGATGATGTTCATGAAGCTTCTCACATTTTGTTTTAGTAATGGAGATGTGCGTGTCAATTGGACTACTGTGATGAAAAGCAACACCACTATCAGAACTGGAGACTTCATATCTGTTGCCGGAAAAGGAAGATTAAAGGTGCCTTTTATCGTTTACACTACTTGCTAGGATGTTTTTACTTGGGCTGTAATTTGCTGGTCTGGTCTGAACTGGTCTTGTCTTGTCTGGTTTCTTTGTATTTTTATAACTATCCAAGTCTGGTCTGAACTGGTCTGGTCTGGGAGGAATTACATTCCAAGTAAAAACATTCCTAGTTACCTGTTCGGTCTATTATCAATAAAGACGAACAGGGGCGGGGTGGGGGCAAATTTACAAATCATTTCTCTTTCTAAATAGCAATTCATGGTTAAACCAGAGATATAAAGTTGTTACCAACTCCACACGATCAAGTATGAAATATTTGATTCAGGGATGATGCTAACCACAACCCTTAGGGCGTTTTTTGTCAAGTAATATAAAAGGAAATGTTTTTATGCTAAGAGGAAAAAATGAACTCACCAATGATTTCAAAATATCCTCACACATGATTGATTCCCAATGAAAAAAGAGATTGATTCCCCAATGATTTTTTTTCCTTTTTACAATTCATAAAGTAAAGACATTGTTCTGTTGGGGGTGGAGGGGAGGGAAGCGGGTGGTTGACATTTGCCTCATTGCTTAATTTTAACGTTTAGATGATGTTAAAGAGAATTCGTATGAGAAATTATATACGGAGTAGAAAATACATGATTTATCTAAATATGTAGTCATTTCTATACTGAGGCTAACAAACAAAGATAAGATAGCAAAACAAAAACCAATCCTCTCATGACCTCGCCTCCAAAATCCCCCAAACAAACAAGACCAAGGGCTTTTTGTTGGCGTTATTCTTGATTCAAATGTTATACTTTATCTATGATCAGATTGGAGAAATAAATTCAACTAGAAAGGGGAAGTTTGCAGTTGAGCTGATCTGGTACATTTGAATGATTTGTAATGTTATTTCACCAGATACATGATATTCATATCGTTTTAATACTTGGGAATGCGCTATGGTTTCGAACAAATATGTTATTTAGTCATGGGATGAAAATAATTTGTAATGTATTACCTGAAAAAGCCACCCTATGTCTCTCCCATTCTCCTATGTGTTAGCAGGGATACAAAGGGGAGGGCTGAGGGGGCGTCTTGCCCAACAATCGTTGTTTGAAACTGGTATTTTTAATATAGAGATCATTTATCCATTGAAACATTTTTTTTAGATTCGGTGAGAATGTTGAAGAAATGCAAATGGAGGTTATAGAAGTGATATGTCTTTGTTTTTCATTTTTTTGGGGAGGTGGAATCTTTTTTGACGCGTGAACACCTAGATATCTTCGCGCGTGTTTGGTAGACTATTTTAATGCATTGAATTTTGTAATAATAAAAATATGCAAGACTGAATTGTCTTATTTGGATGAAAATGAATATTTTACCCTTTTAATTATATCTGATTTTTTTTGTAAAAACATGATTAATAAATTAAAGTATATTTTAAATAAGAAAAAGGATACAAATATCACCTTTAACCTTGTGAAATACAAAAAAGTGGTTAGAGTTCCTTTTTCAAAAAAATATGAATCTTTTGTCTAATACTCTAATTAATCCAATGTTTTATCATTGCAATTTATATCCAATCTTTGTCCCAGCTCCCATTTACGCCTGCCCGGTTAAAATATGGGTAAAAAAAGAAAAATTAAAATAGTCATCAAACTTTTTCAATGATTCTTACATGTATTTATGGAGCAGGTTATCAATTATGAAGATCTTACTATTGTCTTTTTCTGTTTATTAATGAAAAAATTGATTGTAATAATCCTAACTATTGTCGGTTCGCTCATAATAATCCCAACCAGGGATGGATTCGGGTCGGGTCGGGTCCGGGCCGGGCCTAGGCCCGGTCGGGCTGCCGGTTCGTATCACATGGGTCCGGGAGCGGCCCGAGGGTTGGACGGGTCCGGTTCGGGCCGGGCCACCCGCCCGGGTCACGGGTTGGGCCACCCGCCGGGCCGGGCCGGGCTGGTTATTTTTTTTTTTAAATTTATATTTTATACTTTATAGTTTTATACAAGTATTAAAAAACAAACTTCAAGTGCATTTATTTGAAATGAAATAGGAACTACATTTGAAAATTAAATAGAAACTATAATTGTTTTTAATCGGAATCTCCGGCATAGGTAGAGCCACCCTCGGTTGTAGATTCATCCATAAAGAGTTGGGATGGGGTGATGTCAATTTCTTGAGCTCTACGGGCTGCTTTCAACCAATCGTGGTAGCATATAAGCATCTCAAGAGATTCAGCGCTCAACCTCGTTCTGGTTTGTGTTAGGACATTGCCGATCGAACTAAATTCTTGTTCCACGGCAACCGTTGAAACCGGCATTGATAGCACTTGCTTAACCATCTTTGCTAAAACCGGGAACATTCTTTCTTTTCCCTTCCACCAATTTAGTACGTCAAAATCATCATCTTCTTCAAAATCAACATCATAAGTTAAATAGAAAGAAATCTCATTAATTGTGCTTTGTTGTGTAGCGGGATTTGATTTCGTTTTTTTAATAAGATTGACAAACGTAGATTTGAAAATTGATTTTCCTTTAGACCATCTTGCACACATAAATTTAGAACATGACATGCACATCGTTGATGAAAAAATCTACACATCAAAGAAGTAGAACCACACAATTCACGCAATCTAGGAATAGCAGCAGTATTATTAGTAGCATTATCAAAACCAATAGCAAACACCTTATCAATTAAATTATACTCAATTAAAATACGTTCAATCAAAATATAAATATGTTCAGCGGTGTGACGATCATTAAATTCACGGAAAGCAAGAACACGTTTATGCATATGCCAATCATTATCAATATAATGTACAGTCAGACCCAAATAATGTAAATTATGATAAGTATCCTCCCATATGTCAGAACATACAGTAACACATTCATCAAAGTTTGCAAAATAAATTTGTAACCTTACCTTTTCCGCATCATAAAGCCTTGAAATTTCTTTCTTAACCGTTTTGCGACTATAACCTCTATATTGCGGATTTAAACAAGTTTGTGCATAATCACGAAAAGCAAGACTTTCAGAAAACAAATAAGGCAAATTTTCTTCAACAAGTAAGTTAGCCATACCAGTCAAATTTTGTGCATCATTGTATGAGAAATTACCAAAAGCTTGTTGGTTATTTGCAAACCTCGATATTTGCGTTTGCTTCCCCGTTCCGCCGCCTAATTTTGCATACTCCACCGGGTGTTTGGACTTAAGGTGTCTTGTGGCGGATCCGTATCCGCCGGAAATCCCTAAGCTATAGTTTTTCTTGCACCAATTGCAAGTTGCGGTCCAATTCCCGGTGTTCGGGTCCTTCCACTTAGAAAAATTATTAGCCATTAATTCAGATTTACTTTTTTGTACCTGTTTGGGATGAGGCTGGTTGGTCGACGTCATGGCTGCTGCCACCCTCCTCCTCCTCGTCGTCGTGGCTCTCCGGAATTGCTTCCTCCACATCGTCGTCCTCGTCCTCGAGCTCTTCTTCGTCAATGGTCCTCGGTTGGTCTTGAAAAAAGCGGGAATTATGTCGGTGCAATTCTTGTTCTAATTGTTCGTCGGTCATCGCATCCCCATCCCTCCTTGCGTAACCCGTATCAAAATCATCTCGACTTTGAAATGAAGAGTCGATATGTGATTTACCTTTGTGGGATCTCTTCCTCGCAAGCTCTTTCGTTCGGTTGCGCTCGAGGTTACCCATATCAACCGAATATCTAGGACGATCCATCTAAAAAATGTAGCGATTAATAAAAAATTGTAAAAAACTAATTAACTATTTATGTAACTATTAAATCGAGTTATAGCAAATTAACTAGTGAATTAACTAGTTTTGTGTACAACATATTTTTTAAACTAGAGTTAAATGTAGCAATTAATAAAAAATTGTAAAAAAGTAATTAACTATTTATCTAACTATTAATTCGAGTTATAGCAAATTAAGTAGTGAATTAACTACTTTTGTGTACAACATATTTTTTAAACTAGTCAAATGTAGCAATTAATGAAAAATTGTAAAAAAGTAATTAACTATTTATCTAACTATTAATTCGAGTTATAGCAAATTAACTAGTGAATTAACTAGTTTTGTGTACAACATATTTTTTAAACTAGAGTCAAATGTAGCAATTAATAAAAAATTGTAAAAAAGTAATTAACTATTTATCTAACTATTAATTCGAGTTATAGCAAATTAAGTAGTGAATTAACTACTTTTGTGTACAACATATTTTTTTAAACTAGAGTCAAATGTAGCAATTAATAAAAAATTGTAAAAAAGTAATTAACTATTTATCTAACTATTAAACAAGAGTCAAATGTAGCAAACTAACTAGTAATTAAACAAGTGTAAATAATAGAATAATTTCGTACCTCTTTCGGACTTTCAGTCTTTCGGATGGGAGTAATAGAATGACTTCAAATTAATTAGATATAATTCCAACTATATTAATAGATATAATAAATATATAAGTAATATATAATTAGATAACAAATATAAGTAATATAATACTATTTATATCTATTTATAGTTTATATAAGTAGATAATTAATATAAACTATAAATAATAAATATAATAAATCGGAGAATGGAGAATAAGAGAATTAGAGAGTAGAGAGTTAAGAATAGGATTTAGGAAGAATTGGAGAAGAGATATGAAAAAATGTTTAAGATTAGGAGTATTTATAGGTTTTTTTACCCCCCCCCCCCACCCAACCTCCCCGGACCCCCCCCCCCCCCAGCACCCCACCCAACGGCTATATAGCCGTTTGGGTTGTCCCCAGGCCACCCCCAACGGCTAGTAGCCCAATTTAATATTTTTTTTTAAAAATTCAGACCGGACCCGGGCCCGGGCCCAACCCGGTCGGGCCGGGTCACATTTATCCAGCACCGTGCCCGCCCCGCCCATTCCCACCGGTTCGGGTCCACACCCGGTCCCGGACCGCCCGACCGGGCCGGTCCCGGGCCGGTCCCGGGCCCACACAGTACCGGGCCGGGTCACGGGCCGGGTGGCCCGAACCGAATCCACCCCTAATCCCAACTATCATTATTTCAGAATAATATCAACTTTAGGGACTTTTTGCCAATAATGGTCCGAAGTGACTAACTATAAATAAATTCTATAGTTTCTAAAGAGATATAGCAGGTAATCTATATAAATAATTCCAAATTTTAATTTTTACGCTTATTTTCTATTAAAAATTCACTTGTTAGAGCAGATAATATGCGGTTGTTGGGATATTGACCTAGAGGCTTAATACCCGGATCAAGAAGGCCCAAGATATCCGGCCCAAGCAACGGGCCCATCACCCTATGATGACAAAGTCCAGTGAAGAATTCATGCCGAACGAGACTCGGCCCAAATAAAGGTTGACCCAGTAAGAAGAGATACCGAACGGAGTTCGGACTTTATATCATACTTGGGCCAATTTGACAGCGTCTTCAGCACAGTCCAACATCCCGTTCGAGAAACGGACAACCGGCAAGTGGCCAGGTGCAATTAATGCCAGATTATGACTTCAGCAAGTGGAAACATGGGTGACCAAGTCGGTGGAGCAACAGCCAATCAGCACAGGGCAGTCCATGCTCTCCATTAGTATAAATAGAAGGTTTAAAATCATTGTAAGGGTTAGCATTTCAATACTCAGGCTCTAGAATAGCATCATTGCTCTTATTTCTTGTATTAAAGCATTGTTTCTGACCTACCGATCGGGAAATTCCTTGTAATCAGACTGGTTAGTTAATACAAGTGAGCTTTCGAGTATTAGTAAGTTCATATCTTATATTTTTTATACACTTTGATTCTGTACCATTCCTGATATATCCAAAGTTCGTGTTGGGCTTTCGGATCTACGAGATTTACCTTCAACAGCGGTCATGAATCATTATTGGCGGACGGTCCATATAGTTGGGATTATAGTTAAGATTATTGTTAGCGGACCGGCAATAGTTGAGATTATTATTTTCAATTTTTCCTTTATTAATTTAGAGCACCTATATTGTGCTATACATGATCCAAAGCATCGAGAGCAAATTCCGAATAAAGGAGCACATCTTTAAATTCATATTCAAATTCACTTTTATGATTTCATTTTCGCACTAATTGATCATAGATATCAACTTATGATGTGATTAAGGTTGTACATCATATCT